CATTAATCTACTGATAGCAGTACTAATGTTTCACCACATTACAGTTACTTTTACTGTTAAAAAGGCCAAATTACTATAAACTCCTTAGATGCAGTCCTGGAAGTAAGTTAATTTAAAATTTAACATTCATTCTACCTTAATTTGTCATTGTGTCGACACAGATCACCCAAGAAATGGTTAATTTATACTTATGGTACAGCAAAGCCCCCTCCCCTTCTCTGTCAGATTACTCTCATGTAATCAGTGCAATCTCGTTGATTTTGTCTGGAAAATGAGTTGTAGACGTGACGGTAAATTAATTTAATGAAAATAAAATTATACTTTAATATCAGATTGTAATACTGTTAAAAATATAAATACATATAGTTGTTACAAAAACTTGGGGGTAATTTTGGCCCCCGGAACGTGGCTTTTGGGGGCATTCTTGGATAAATTGCGGGCCAAATGGCCCGTGGCCCTTGCTAATTTCTGACACTGCCACCAATTGTCATATCTCTAGGAAAAATATACTGCCAGGGCTGCTCCGTCAAAACAAAAAGGGTGCTACTGAGCCCCCATGCTGCATTAAAGCAAATAAATAAATAAATAATCATATCAGACAACACGATATAAGACTTCTGAGTTTGTGAGTTTTCAAGCATCCCTTGCCCCTTAAAAACAGCTTCCCTTTTATATGGCGAATAAGGCGTTGCCACGGTGACAGCATTTGATGAAAACTCAAAAGCGTCATTTCTGAGTATCATCGAGGTCTTGGGACTTTTCTCAGCAAATTTGAGGTGGGTCTGATTAACCTGCTGGAAGAGGGACATCAAAGAATGAAAATAGTTGGTTTCTGTTGCCAGCAGGTGGCGCTATGACGGTGATTCAGTGTTGCTCTGTAGATGTTTTCAGGGCTGGACTGTCCTTATGTGTGTGAAGTTGTGGAGGGACGCCTACGTGGAGTCAAGTTACAGCAACTTTTGTCATCATGTCCACACATCAAAATTCACCGCTATGCCACGGCGACACACTTTGACGAAAACGCACAATTTTTACGATAAAGCATCATCAAGGTCTTGGGTGTATTTTTCCCAATTTTGACATGAATCTGGTCAACTTTGTAGGAGATGTATAAAACGTGTAAAACACCAAAGTATAAAACATGACATTTCCTGTTGCCAGTAGGGGGCGCTATAACTATTACTAAATATTGGCATGTAGATGGGGGGGGCAATAGGATAACATGTAGGCTAGCAGTTTGAATAGAATAGAAAGCTTTATTGTTATTATATATCAAATACATTGTGATTATGATGATGATTATGATTTTATATTGTACGGATGAAGATATAAATAAATACATATTTTAGATCTTTGTGGTAAATACAACGTTAGCCTTGCGTTCACAATCGCTTGTTCAAAGCAGAAATAGAAAACTTTTCGACTACGTTGTGCACGCTCGCTAGCTAACGTGGGATCAATAGAGAATATAGTAACTTTCACCACAGATCATTTGAGGAGGACCGCTCCAAGGAAACGTGTTCTGTGTTCAGATGATCAAACAGACGATGGGTCATAGATGTTTGTTTGTTTGTGGCTGCAGCGTTCGCTCACTGAAAAGTCGTCTGTTTCCACTTTAAAATGTTGATTAAAAACGTTGCTGTCTGTTGATACTCTGACTTGGTTTAGTGCTACAATAGATGATCCAGAGGAACAAGACCCGCCCGGAGGACAGGAGCACGAAACCCCCGCGGACAAATACGACAAAGCCTCCTGGCTCTAAACCAAAGCCCGCTGACCCAGGCTGTGATCTGCTCCTCCACTAGAAGAACCAGAGGGAGGTGACGGGACGTCAGCGGGGTCTGTCGGCTTTCCTCCAGTGTCCACACACTCCCGGGCGGTAAAAATTTAAGGCATTCATTTCTTACGATCCAACTGTCAAGAATCTACCATGAGCGGAAGAGGCAAAGGAGGAAAATAGTTGAGTCACCTGAACCCGTCAGTGCCCGCGAGGGCAGAGAGCCCAGTGGCTCCCCTCAGCAACACGCCAGGTGCTCTGACAAGTTCGGCCAGAACTGGGTGCGGCTGAAGTTCACAGGTGAGAGCGACCTTCCCACCAGAGACTATGTCGGTCAGAGCCTTTTGTTTGATTCTTGCTGGATCAATGCCGCAGACATTTACTCTTTCAAATAGAAGAGACTTTGAACTGTGTTTCTTCCAGGAGGATCCTTTAAGGCGCTTCCTGGAAATTCAAGCAGCTAAACATGCTGAGGAAAAATGGAGAGACTGGTCTATTGAATCATCCATACAAACTGATGTCATCACTCTGGTAGTCAAATTCTGGACCGGCAGAATATCCGACCATGACGTTAATCTATATTTACAAAGATACTGCACTATTCTACATTGCACTAAACCACTGGATAAATTTGGCATCTGGAGTCAGAAAGTTACAAGGTCAAGATGCACAAAGACAGAACCGGTCAACATATTGCAATACCAAGTTCCATCTCTCTTGGACCGTACAACGGCCGCATCATTTACCCCGGACAGTCATCCAGCTGCTTCATATGCAACAGTACCGACCATCAGGCTAAACAATGTCACACTGTCAAATGCACGGCCCCCGGAGAGTCCACCACTGAGCAGCGTGACACTCCACCCGTGCAGCAGCACCTTCCTGTAGCGGAGCTACAGCCACCAGCCCCTCCTGACGACATCTCTTTTCTGTCAGGTGAGGGCAGTTTAGTTATTGACAGTGAGGAAGAGAGTGATGACAGTGAGGAAGAGAGTGTTGATGAAAATGATGATCAAAGATATGAAAGTGCCAGCGAGAGCCCCAGCTCTGACTTCAGTAGTGACATGTTGACAGCTGGCCAGCAGCACCCCCTCCCTTCTCCTCCTGATGCAGAGTAGCTCCTTCTCCCCCACACCTGAGTTTCCTGCTCCGAGCAGTAATAATTCAAACAGTGAGGTCCCGACTGAGTTAGTTGGAAAGAAAAGGCCAGCTCACTTTACCTCCCATAAAAGGAGAAACGGCTGGATGACAAGCCTACACCTTAAGACTGACATAAACTACCATGGGTTTTCTTAAAGTTGCCACCTGGAACGCTCGTGGTATTCAGTCTATGTCATTAAGAAAAGAAAAAACTGAATATCTTCTTAATACTGACTTTGACATCTTATGTACTCAAGAACTGAGACTGAATATGAACAATCATGTCGAAGATGTTAGTAAACTGTGGCAGAGTGGGAAATGTGTAATGTAAAGCTGGTGGTGTTTGTATATTTTCAGACATCATGATGTTAACATAATCAGAAGAAGAGATATTATTCCAGGAAGACTTCTGATGCTGGATTGTTATTATCAGGGTGAAAAATATCGTGTTATTAACCTGTACACTGCACCAGATGCTCGTCAGAAAGTCCAGCTATTTAAAAGACTTCGAGAATTGTTATTGGTTGGATTTACAATTATTTTATGTGGAGAGTTTAATACAGTAACAGATGACAATGACAGATGCAGCACAATAGCATTTAAGCTGAGCCCAGAAGGTAAACTCTTAAAGAAATCTGTAACGAAGTTAAATTAACAGATGTATGTAGAGCTGTTCATCCTTCTGGACTTTATTTTACAAGGTTTGACACTAAAACCAAAACTCATATCGATAGAATTTATGTGTCTTCACATTTTAATGTATCTCATTATTCTGCTGTTTTCAGTGACTTCTCTGATCACTTCTTAGTGAAAACATTTCTGTCATGTGGAAGCTCCACTAACAGAGGTTTAGACTTAACACCCAGTGTTTAAAGCACATAGATTTATTAATAGAACTGAAACAAGAAATCCATGAAATAATACAGCTAAAAAGTCTATCCAAATCTGATATTAAATTGTGGGAAATATTAAAACATGGAATAAAAGATTTCTTTAAATATAAATGTAGAGAAATAAATGTACAAATTATGATACATTAATGAAGACGTATATTAATCTTAAACAGAAGAAGGAACGATCTATTGCAGAGGAAGAAACTATGTCAGATATTAAATTTCAGTTAGATAAATATAACAATGAACTGTTGTATGGTATCTATAACCAGTCAGAATTTGAGGGCAGAGGAAATTTAATTCATGCAATTAAATCAAGACACAAACAAATCCAAAGTAAATTTATTAAATCTATTAAAAATAATTTAGGTGATACTGTCCATGGTGAAATGCAGAAAAGAGAAGTGATCAGAGACCTTTGTGCTGACGCATATAAAAAAAAATAGAAATAGAAGTTGACTGTGTAAATATTTTGTTAAAACATGTCCCTTTATACAGCTCTCTGACCTTCACTGAACTAACTGGTAATATTCGAAAAGATGAAGTGGTGAATGCTATTCAACAATTAAACTCTGGTGAAAGTCCCGGTCCAGACGGACTGCCCACTGAGTTTTATCAGTTATATATCGATGATGTAATTAACCTCCTTACTGCGATGTTTAATGAAGATTTAAACAGCAGCTGTATGGGGGACTCATTTTATCAAGGAGTTTTATGTTTGTTGTATAAAAAAGGTGATGACACTGATGTCAGTGATAATTACAGACATATAACTATTATGAACACAGATTATAAAATACTTGCTAAAATAATTATGAATAGATTACATGATATATTAGATAAAATTATAGATAAGGAACAAACCTGTGCAATTAAAGGGAGATTAATGTGGGATAACCTGAGCATCCTTAGAGAAACTGTGTCCAAACCAGACAAAAGATTCTTTATCATTGGGCTGGATCAAAAGAAAGCCTTTGATTACATTTCCAGAGATTATCTCTGGGCTGTTATGAAGGCTTATGGTTTCCCTGGTGACTTTATTCATATAGTTAAGTGTCTGTATATGAAGTCAAGTGTCTGTGTTAATGTAAATGGTGTTTTATCTGAGCTCTTTGAGGTCGAGAGAGGGGTCAAACAGAGCTGCCCTCTTAGTGCTGCTTTGTACATTTTGGCTATAAGCCCTTTAATCAAAATAATCAACTCTGAAAGTTTGATCTCTGGTATATGTGTGGGTCACATGCCCAAGTTTACAACAATTGCTTACGCTGATGATGTCACTGTTATTATAAAGAACCAATTGGAAATGGACGTTCTAACTAATCATTTAAATCTGTATGAACTAGCATGTGGTGCTAAGTTGAACCATAGTAAAACAGAGGGAGTTTGGATCGGAGACGAGAGGGACAAACCTAACATTAATGTTCAAATTAATCATGAAATAAAAATTTTGGGTGTAACATTCTGTAGTAATGATTGTAGTGAAAGAAACTGGGAGCAAAAATTGACTGACACCAAAGAAGAAGTAAAAAAATGGGAAAACAAAGGTACCAGTTATAAAACCAGAATCAACATCATTAAAACTTTCATCCTGTCCAAACTCCTCTTTCTGGCTAACATCTTTCCTCCATCAGAGAAAATGATTATGAAATTAAATAAACAGTGTGTTAATCTAGTGTGGGGTACAACCAGAGAGGTCACTAAAAGAGAAATAATGTTTAAAGGTAAGGAATATGGGGGTTTGGGGGCTGT